TTTCCTGGTCCCTGTCTGGGAGGAAGGATGGGGACAGGGAGCCCTGCCAAGCCTGGTGGGGTGAGACCCAGATCCCTGGGCATGAGAGCAAAGAGGATTTGGGGAGGGGGCTTGATGTGGAAAAGATGGGGAAGAGGATCCATGGAAAACGGGGAGGCTGAAGAAGGCTTGAGAAGGAGGTTGGGTATCGTGGGGAGGGTGAAGGAAGAGGAACGAAGCCAGAAGCGGGGGGTGAGGGGCACCCACCTGGAGGGGGAGAAGGGTCCCAGGATGGGGAGGGGGTCTCACCCTCCCCTGGGCAGCAAATCAGTGTCAGCATCGGAGCGAACGGTGCCCAAAGTGGTGGTGGGAAGTGGAAGGAAGTGGGACCGCGTCCAGCTCTGACCCTGGGCAATCTGCAGCCACCTCCCCCCACCGCTGTCAAACCCTCCAGCTTCAGGCACTGAACCTCCCACCTCCTGCATCCCAAATCAGCATCAATTCCCCAGTCCCAGCCCATTAACAGGGTCTTTCCCCAGGTACTGGGAGATGCCATCACCCCAGGGATCCCATTTCCAACACAAAAGGGGCTAGATGTCCCAGCCAAGTGTTGGGAAAAGCGTTGATTCCTTTTAAATCCCTCTGGGAAAGTCTTGTCTGCACCGGGGGGGGGGGCTTTGAACCTTTTTAGCATTTGAATCATCCTTTTGAGTTGACTCGGTTGTAGCTTTGGCCATCACCATCCCACCTTCTCCACCTCTGCAGCATCGGCCAGGCTGAAAACAAAAAATTCCTTTCCCGACAAATGCATTTTTTCAGCCCAAACAGTTCCCTCAAATCGGGCTGATCCCATAAAAGGGAGATCCGCAGGAAAAAATTCCCCTTTCCCCTGGCCTGAGTTTAGATTTAACCCCGAAACTGTCGGGAAAAGGACGCCCGAGCAAAAAGGCGCAATGCACGGCAAGGGGGAAACTGAGGCAGGGTGGGTTGTGCCTGAGGGTTCATCGTGGTTGCCCCCAGCCCCACGTCTCCTCCTTGAAGCGATTGAGCAGAATCCCACAGAAAAACCTTAGACTGCGAGTTTCCTTCTTCCTCTTGCACGGAGGCATCGCGCAAACATCTTCCTCACCTTCAAAATTGAGCTTCCAGCTCCCTCTTGAGACCACGCTCGCTCATAGTCCCTGTTGACCACACGTGGCCAAATAAAGGCTCGTTTGGAGAGTGATGTCATCATTTTTAACCTACCTCACGCTAACCTACCTTCAGAAGCTGAGCCAGGTTGTCCACAAAGTCCTATCAAGCCTTCAGCGAGCTTTGCCTTAAGGTTTAGGTTTGATGTTGAGGGAGATGGAGGCACTGAAGTACTCCACGTCTCCCTTCTCCATGGCTTCTTGCTCTTTCAGGTCAAGTTCAACATCATCCAAGCATGGCGAGTGATGCTTTGCCCCCACAACACCTGTATTTTCTCCGGCATGGGAGAGGCAGCGCCAAACCTCTGCTGAATTTTCTCAGGAGGACAAAATTTCCTCACCGAGGGCACTGGAGTAATGGGTCATGAAGGGATGGACCAGCAGAGTCCACAACCAGGCGTGAAGGCTCCTCCAAGGCAGTTTGAGAAAGGACCACACCCCAGGACTGAGCTTAAACAGAGCCCCCGGGCCATGGGTGAAGGGGTAGAGGGTCTGAAGTGGAGCTGCTTAGGGCTGTTTGCTCATCAGTGGTCTCAGGGCTTGGCAAAATCAACCGATTTACTGGGTTTGGAGAAGCCGAGATGTTTTTCCAGGTGCATCAAGCTCTGCTTCCAGCCCAAAAGAGGGATGGCAAAGCACAAAGCCACTGCAGGTGATTAGTCATAGAACCATGGAATGGTTTGGGTTGGAAGGGACCTTCAAGACCATCTAGTTCCAACCCCTCTGCCAAGGGCAGGGACACTTTTCTCTAGATCAGGCTGCTCAAAGCCTCATCCAACCCTGTTTTGAACACTTTTTTCCCAGGGATTGCTGGGAAATTAACTCTGATTATGCGACTCACGTAGGTAATTAGGGAGAAAATGCAGCTTTTGGTGCCGGGGCAGCGGTGATGGTGCTGCTGGCACTTGTGGGACAGCAAGAGGAACAAGAGCAGGAGAGAAAGAAACGTCCTAAACGCAAAAGTCAACGTCAAGCAGTCCCTCAGGAGCATCCATCCCAACACCAGTCTTCCCGTGCATCCAAACCAACCCTTAACTCCGGATTAACAACCAAAAAAAAGACACCTTGAGCACGAAACCGTACCACAGGTTTCGGTTTGAGTGTTGGTGAGCGCACCGGAAAATCATGACACCCCCTCCACCACCAACGCTTGCGAACTAATGAGGTTAATTACTGATGTTCTCAGAAAACGCCCGTTGCTTCGTTACCAGCCTCAGCCCAACGCAAATAATCACCGGTCGCTTCGGCACCCAACGGGCTTCGGACCCAGAGCTGCCCTTCCATCTCCCATAGCTTGATGGTCCATGGGATTGGGTGATTTAGGGGTTTCTTGTCTAGGAGGAAGAAGAAGGACATCGTTGTCCCTCCAGGAGAGCTGCAGAGGAAGGGAGGGGTGGAGAAGAGGACATTTACCACTTTGATGTTACGAAACCCCATTTGGGATGAGGTCTTGGTGGATTTGGGGGTTTTGCAGGAATCCCAGGAATGCTGAAGCTTTTACAAGAGGCAGGTTTACGGGGTGAAAGCGCGTTGACGCAGGCAGACGCCCAACCGACCGTGCAAGGTCAAGGCAACTGGAGTAAAGTGACATTGCAAGTCGAGAAGCAGCCGTGGGAGGGGAGATTTCCACTGCTGGAAGGTTGTTGATGAAATATCACCTTTTTTTTCCCCAAAAAAAACGTGGCGGCTGAGGGTTGAGGGGAGCGCTCAGCATCGGCTGAAGGACAACCCATTCCTGAGGGTTACGGCTGGTCGTGAAGTTATTTTGTTTACAGGGTGGAAGAAAATTCCCTCCCATCCTTGGAGGGATTTCTTGGAGGAGCTTTCTTCCAAAGCTTGGAAGAAAAGCAAAACTGAAGAAAAGCAAAACTAAAGAAGAAAAGCCAAAATTCAAGATAAGAAGGTGAGAGGTTTGTTGGCAGCTCTTTGACTCCTGGAACCGACGTCCTGTTGAAAAGCAGAATCGAAAGCAGCGACAAAAATATTTATAGCCGCGCGCCGACGCGCGGAAACGGCGGCGGAGCCGGCGGGTGGGTACGGAAAATAACAGAGCGCTGGAACGAGGAGTGATGGGCGCATCTCGGTGGCTTGACTTGGAGAAGAGAGACTTATCCGTGCCGGGGGACTCGCTTAACCTCCGATCCCGTGGCTGTCACCTTCAATTAAGAAATTAAATTATTAATAAGCGATGGAACCGGGCTGGTTTCTGGGTGCTGGACACCACGGGGAGGTTTGGGATAGGGCTACCTCTTGATTTGCATGAGTATTCTTATTTTTTGGGGTGGGGGGTGATGTAGAAGCTGTGGTGGATCTCTAAAAAGCCGGGAAATTAGGAAGAATATTTTCCATTTAATCTCTTTCCAACCCAGTGGTGTCCTTGGAGAAAGGGAGATGCTCCCTTCCTCCTCCGTGACCGCTCAGAGTGATGTTTTTTTCTCAGCAGTGGTGGCAACCTGGAGAAAAATTGGTGCATCTCAGCAGCGAGACCACCCTGCCCTGCTCTACCTCCCCCGGGGCTCGAAACACCTGCAGGAAGGGGAACGGCCAACGGGCAAGACCAACCGGGGCGGAAAACGAAAGCCGTCCCCGTCATCCTCGCCGCCAAGACCATGGCCGCGGAGAGCCCCGCCGAAAGTTTCCGTGATGAAGCCTCCTGCACCATCTGCCTGGGCTTCTTCCAAGACCCTGTCTCCATCCACTGCGGGCACAACTTCTGCCGGGCGTGCATCACCCGTTGCTGGGAGGAAGAGGAGGAGAATTTCACCTGCCCTCGGTGCAAAGAAACGGCCCCGAGGAGAAACCTGAGACCCAACCGGGAATTGGCAAAGATCATCGAGATAGCCAAGCGGTTGAGCCTGCAGGCGGCCAAAGGAGGGGCAGGAGGGGAGAAGCTCTGCGAGAAGCACCAGGAAGCTCTGAAACTCTTCTGCGAGGAGGACCAGACCCCCATCTGCTTGGTTTGCAGAGAGTCCCAGGCTCACCGGCTCCACGCCGTGGTCCCCATCGAGGAGGCTGCGGAGGAGCACAAGGTGGGAGGTCTCGGGACGCGGCGCGGGGACGAGGGAGGAAGAGGGGACTGTCTTGGGGAGCTGCTCTGTGGGTTGCTCTGCTTGTAGACATCTGGGTTTCTCCACCCTTTCAATCTGCTTTCGGCATCATGGCATGAGCGTTGGCTCACAGTCATCCCCCACCTTGGCTGCTCTGTGCTCCCCCTCGCTTACGTCGCCGGTCAACCCAACGGTCTTGAAGCTGTCCTTTCCGTATCGTTGCCGTGTCCTCCTAGAAATCGCGCTGGGAAGGAGGCCAGGAGATCATCTCACTCAACCTGCTGCTCAAAGCAGGGTCAGCTATGCCGTAGGCATACGTAGGAGACACCACGTGTAGATGTAGACAGCAGAATCCGGTCTTATGGCGCTGGTGTGCAAGGCAGGGTTGGGTTCTCCAGCACGTCCATGATCTGGGCACACATGGTGTGCCTGTGATAGGTGCTGTGAAAACTGATTTCACTGAAAGTGAGAAGAAAAATTTGTTCCCAGTGCAGGCGTGTGATGTAGCCCCGGTCTCACCGTGCAAGGGTGATGGAGGGTATGGTCTCACCACCGTAGACTGGCTTGAATGTCCCATCCAGGCTTCGAGGTTGTGACCAAAAGCACGTTCCTCAGCAGCTGAACGGTGCAAACGGCCCAAACTTACAAGTTTTGGGTCAGCGCTGAGCACAGGTGGAACATGAACAGGTGTCGGTGGGGTCTCCTCCATCATTTGAAGCTCCTTTTCTGCTGGTTTGGTCCTTTGCCTCAGCCTTTTCCAACCGGTGCCGTGAATTTCGCCCTGGTTGTTGGAGAAAGCAACCTGTTCTGGCTGTCCTGCTCTTCCAGAATTCCCAGAGCCAGATTATCGTGTCATTACGCAGGGAAGGATCTGAGTTTGTAGGAGATAAACCTGGATAGGTGGGATGAGAGCAGAGGGATGGACGAGACAGAGGAAGAAAATGCACCAACGAGGTGTTTCTTCTTCACTCAGGAGAAATTCCAGGCTCACGTGCAGATCCTGAAGGACAGGAGAGAAAAGCTGCTGGGGCTGAAAACGGCTGAGGAAGGGAAAAGCCTGAACTTCCTCGTAAGTGTCTGTCCCTGATAAACCTGGATAGGTGGGATGAGAGCAGAGGGATGGACGAGACAGAGGAAGAAAATGCACCAACGAGGTGTTTCTTCTTCACTCAGGAGAAATTCCAGGCTCACGTGCAGATCCTGAAGGACAGGAGAGAAAAGCTGCTGGGGCTGAAAACGGCTGAGGAAGGGAAAAGCCTGAACTTCCTCGTAAGTGTCTGTCCCTGGTTTGTCCATCCTCTGGCCGTGGTGATGGACGTGAAGATGTGAGACGCACCACGGCCAAAGATCACATCTCCACGGTCCCTCACACGTGGAGGGGAACGTCCTCTCCCTTGGGGTAAGGTCTGGGTGGTGACAACAGCCTATCCCAGGGTGGATTTCCCCATGTCTTCTGCTCCTGGTGTGTCTTAGGAGGCACGTTCCCAGATTCCCCCCCTTTTAATACGTCAGGAAAACGGGATTCACCCAACTGCTCTTCTCTTGCCTTTTTTTCCCTTTCCCCCACCTCTTTCGTTGACTCATCTCATTTACGACTTTGTTTTCCATCTTCCCTTGTCCAAAGGTCTGGAGCGTTTCACGTCCAAAGATCACAGTCCATGGGAAATGTCCTTTGCCAGCAACTTCAGCCCAGAAATGGCCAAAAAAAATAATAATTTGTCTTAATTATTCCTCTGCTCTTAAATCAGAGATTTATTAAATCACCTCCGTTGCAATTTTTCTTGACCACTTCTGTCATGTCCCTCCCTTGCGCGCCGGTTCTCGTTGCAGGAACGAGTGGAAATGGAGAGGCAGAAGGTCGTGTCTGAAGTCAAGGAGCTCCATCAGTTCGTGGAGGGACAGGAACGTGTCCTCTTGGATCGGTTGGCCAAGCTGGACCAGGAGATCGTGAGGAGACAGGAGGAGAACATCAACAGGCTCTTGGAGGAGATCTCCTCCATTGATGAGCAGATCCGTGAGCTGGAGGAGAAGTGTCAGCAGCCGGCGTGTGAATTCCTGCAGGTGAAGACCACTGGCCTTGAACACTGCTGGTGTCACCAGTCCAGGAATCAAATTAATACTAAATACTCCTTTTAAAACGCATCTTTCAAAGGTTTTTTGGGTTTTTTTTAAATTATTTTCTTCGCTGATGACAAGCATGGCCCAACTGTCCACTTGAGTATTTCAAATCAACCACAGTTTGTTGGAATCACTGTCTATTTACACCGGTATGGGATTCATCCATCTAGTTGTACATGTCTACATCCAACACGATTGTCCAAGTCCCTTCGTACTCAGTGGAGAAACAACGGGTGCTCATGACATTACGTAGTCATCCCAACCCATCACCTGAGCCCACCTCCAGGCTCTGGTTAACCCCTGATTTGAAAAATTCAAATATATCAAAGCAGAGGTGTCCGTTAGCCGTAGTAACGTCCGTATTGGAAGAGTAGGGACACAAAAGGTGGTGGGTGATGACAAAGAACTACGATGAGCTGCTCATTGATGTTGCCATGACCTCACCTAGCTACCCAGAAGATCTGCAAATGCCATGCAGGCAGATCACTATTAAGGGACTCATTTTAGACCCATAATTTGAGTTGCCCGAGGTCACCCCACAGCCCCGTAGTAGCTGCGTGTTCTTTACTATCAGGTTGACTTTGCTCCAACCTAATGCTCCTTCTCTCATCTTTCCTTTGTAGGACAGCAGAAACATCTTGAGCAGGTTTGTGGCTCCTTTCATGTGTTCTTGTGATGTTAACGGCGTTTATCTCTACAACGGTGACACTGATGGACCCCTACCCCATATGGTAGGGACTGTGTAGACATATAGGAGACAACTAGGACACCGCAAAAGGTCCAAGTAGGATGCTGAAGACCAGGGAGAGGTATCAGATGGGATGATGGTACCTCCAGCTCTGTCACAGCTTCTCCTGGATAGTCCATACAGAACTATTCCTAGAGGTCTGAGCTTTCACCCCCTGCCCTCGTGAGTCCGTCAAAAAATAGGAAGCCAGCAGCTAAAAATATGTGGATGTTAAATACCAGGTGGAAGGGAATCTGGTATGAACTTCCACTCCATGACAGTCCTCTTCATGTCCTCCTTGGACATGGATTGAGAAGGTGGCTTCTTGGAAAGACAGAAGCAGGCAAGGAAAGGAATTTTTTATTGCCTGCATTGTCCTTGATGCAGCGCGCTGCTGGTCGTGGTAGAAAGCTGTTGCCATCCATGGATTCTTCTCTTTGGAAGAAGATAGATTATGGGCTTTGGGTCAGCAAACCCTTCTCTGGGTGGTCATTAACGAGTGGCCTTGGACCGAGCCTTCGCTGTAGTCCTACTATTACTTATGTCTTTAGTGGAAGTCCCAGATGAAAATCGGTCAGCTCATAATGATGATCTTGAGTGAAGGAAGCGTTATCTGAAAGGTCTTCCTTCTTTCCAGGCTTGAGAAGGACGTTGCCCAGAAGCCAGTAGAGACGTTGCCTGAGCTGGGAGAGAAAGCCACCGGTGTTCCTCAGAAAAACATCGCCCTCAAAGAGACGCTGATGAAATTTCAAGGTACGGAGAACCTGGGGAGGAGAGGGTTTGAGGTTGTGCTGGGTCTGCCCGCAGCAGGTCTAAGGAAAGAGGGAAGTCCTGGTGAAATGGAGAGATGCTTCCAACATGTCCTGCAGAGATGTAGCCATAGCAACACACCAAGAAGCAATTACTCCAGCTGATTACTTGAGAGAGGGCGAGTTTACCTCCCGGCACAGCTCGGGGAGCACCGTAGGCATTGGGATATTGTGGGACCTCCTGTAGGGTCAGCGTCGCCTTTGGAAATCATCTCTCTGAACGATTCCAAAAATGAAAATTGCAAATATTTCCACGTGGGAACTTAGAAAAGGAAAGTTATGGGGCACCTGAGACTTTCTGTCCTCTTTCCAGTGGCCTCCCAGCAAGAATATCCACACTTCAAATCCTTACTTCTACTCTGGATCAAGCTTCCTTCACGCAGTTGCCTTTTCTACTCTTCCG